TATACATTTTAATATTTTTTGTTAAGTTTAAATATGTATGAGATCTCCTTTACTAAGGCGGGACTCTTATTTTGACGGGTTTTCTAGTCTACGGAGCTATATGGGTAATGAAAGCACGCAGTTCTTTGGATTGAAAGTTTGTCAGTTTATTAAGCACCCCCCGAAAAGGCATCAGATCTGTATATATTTGTTTACTGTTAGTTGTAATAAGTGGTTTGTGTAATTCGCTGTATGTTGATGATAATGCAACTGAGAGAGTTTAATGTGCACTTCTCGTACTGTGTTTTGTTTAGCTCTTATGGTGATTTTTTTTTGGAGTGAAAAAGGACGCAATAAACTTAATAAAACATCAGTAAAGTTTTGGTCATCATTCAGATGAGGTCCGCTACACTTATGAAAGTTACAAAAGTTATTTAGTCAAGAATAGTGTGCGATCTTTTGTCTTTTGTTATTTGATTAGCATTAAAGTGCAGACAGCAGCGCTAGGATTATGCAACAGACATTATACAGCTCAGTGCCTTCACGCAGTTAATTAATAAACCATCGGTTTGTTATATCGGCCTTTTTCCTTATATAGCCGATATGCCGATGGTTGTAAATTGAGGAAAAATCGGCTGATAAATATCGGTGGCCGATACATCGGTGCATTCCTAATAAATATGTTAATTTAAACATTAAATATGTCTTTAAATTAAATTGTCTGATAACACACTACCATTTAAATGTTCAGTGGTCAGCAAGTTTTTTTTTTTGTAAGAAATGAATTATTTTATTCAGCAAGGACACATGTGTAAAGACATAATGACAGTACTGCAAAATGACAGTAAAGACATTTATAATGTTACAAAAGATTTTTTATTTCAAATAAATATTGTTCTTTTGAACTTTCTATTCATCAAAGAATCCCGAAAAAAAATTTATCATGGTGTCCAAAAAAATTATAATTGAAAATTTGAACCGTTTTAAACCTTGATAATAACACAAAATGTTTCTTGAGCAGCAAATCAGCATATATGAATGATTTCTGAAGGATCACGTGACACTGAAGACTGGAGAAATTATGCTGAAAATTCAGCTTTGCATCACAGGAATAAATTACACTGGCTACAGTTGACGGTAGCCATTGACTTCCACAGTATAGAAAAAAATACTATGGAAGTCAATGGCTACCATCAAATGCTTCGATACAAACATTCTTCAAAATATCTTCTTTTGCGTTCAACAGAAGAAAGAAACTCATACAGGTTTAGACCAACTTGGGTGAGTAAATGAATTTTCATTTTTGGGTGAACTAGTTTTATCAGTTTTATATCATCCACCTTGATCTCCAGATGCAGACATCTCCCCTATTGAAAAAAACCCTATTGGTCAGCCACTATTCAATGTCCTTTCTCAGTTCCACGATGATCAAAAGTCAACGATCAGACACAATACTCTGAAACACAGTCACCGTCACTCCCACACACACTGCCTGACATATTTCATATTTCTGTGTCCCAATTACAAGCTCCCGCCCTTCAGCCCTCAAACACTTTGAGGCTTTCTTCCGCTCCAGGATGCTTTTGTGCCCCTTCCACCTGCCACTCTACAGCTCTGTAGTGCACATCTGCAGTGCTTTCCCATAGACATGGGCAGGAAACAGCCCAGTATCAAAAAGGAGCATCCAAGATTCCTGCTTCCACTCATGCATGCATAATCACGGCAGTCTTTCTTTCAGCTGCCAAAATGAGCCCAAAACAATCAGTAAAATAACGATGGAGGCTGAGTCTGTGAAAACTTTTGTGTGTGATACAAACCCTCAGGCTTGGCTAAGACTGTGGAGAGTTTCCAGAGACCTGGGCTGGGGCAAAATGAAAGAATACCCAAGAGATCTGAAATACTGCGCTCTGGCACCTCAAGCGTTAAAACTCCCAGAGGCTGAAATCTTTGCTCCAGTCAAGACTTCACTGAGCTGAACATCGGCTGTTTCTTTAAGCTGAAACCCCGTAGGCACGGTGGCTGATTTGCATGCACTACCTCTGAAACCACTGGGACGTTTCGCTCAGTAGAGAGAGAACCGCACACCTCTTGGCAAGGTCAACAGTAACGGTGCACAACCAAGTGGGACTGACTGGAAATATGGAGACTTGGCAAAAAAAAAAAAAAGCAAGATGATCAGCCTCAGACATGACTTTAGGGCGTTTGCTCAAGATGATTCCCATTAGACCGAAAACTAATCTTGCAAGTGGGGCTAAAAAAAATGAAAAACGATGAGAGGGGAAAAAACAGGCAATTTTCCCAGAGGAGTGCTGCTTGTCAAGTTCATTTTCTGACAACAGTCCCTCCCCTGGAGCCCTGGATGCGCTGCTGTGTATCGACCGTCACAGCAGGAAGCTCATCCAATCATAGCAGCCGCTTCAATGGGACAGACCTAAAATACTGCGCCAATGTGATTATTGATCCACAAATAACTCCTCTCCCTTTACAAAGCCAAAGCAGAAGTCTGCTGACTTACTCCTCTGAGACTACATGCAACCTAGCAGACATCACATACCAGTTTGTGGGCATTAAGTATGATCTAAAATGTATATTAATGAATTTATTAGGGACAGAGTGCCTGTTTATGGGAGATATTGTGATTGGTACTTTAAAGAAAGATGATGTTTGTAATGTTATTAATATTAACATATTTTCTTCTATGAAAGTTTAAAGTCATAGCAGGAAAAAAATATGTAGGGTGGGATTTAACCATTACTGGAAAATCATTTTTAAAAATATCATAAATGTGGTAAATCTTTACTTTTGTCAAATATAGTGTCTGAAAAAAAAATAAAAAATTTTTGGAGTAATTTCTCTGGAGAAATTAATATTACTCAGCAAGAATGCATTAAACTCAAAAGTGACAGGAAAGACATTTAAATGTTAGAAAATATTTATATTTAAAATAATTGTTTTTCTTTTTGAACTTTCTATTCCTCAAAGAATCCAGAAAAAAAATTATCAAGCTTTCCACAAAAATTTTATGCAGCACATCTGCTTTCAACATTTATAATAATAAGAAATGTTTCTTGAGCAGCAAATCAGTATATTAGAATAATTTCTGAAGGATCATGTGACACTGAAGACTGGAGTAATGATGCTGAAAATTCAGCTTCACCATCACAGAAATCAATTTAAAATATATAAAAATAGAAAGCAGACATTTTAAATTGTGATAGTATTTCACAATATTACTGTTTTTGATCAAATAATTGCAGTCTTGGTGACTTCTTTCAAAAACATTTAAAATCTATATAAAATCTAAATAAATAAATTGTTTGGTCTGAGATCTGTAAATTAATATCATGTTGTACTAAAAGGCAAATATGTGCAAATCACAAATAAAAAAATTGTGTCATTTGAGACAGATCAGTTTCTTTCTTTCCTTCACAATGTTAGAACAGAACAACACTTTATGTTTTATGTCATAATTCCTCTAGCAAGTCATATGACACCTTAAAAAATGCTAAAACGCAACCAGACTTACATCACTCTGCCAGTCAGTGTGGTCTGCACGTGCTTCTGGAATTCTGGATATTTAGAGGCCAGATACACAAAGTCTGGAGGTGTATCCTTATAACGGTTTCGAGGATGCATGGATTTATTCAGCGCCATTCTTTCTGCAACAAGACAAGATTGCACATGACACCACAAACAGCAATCAAAGCAAAGTCATAAACCGTTTCAAAGGCCCCAAATTAAAATCTTGTGATTATTTATTCACCCTCACGTTGTTCCGAACATGTATGGACATTTTCAAACAGTGATATTAGGCAGAATGTCCGCTCATTGAGCAGTCACCATTCACTTTCATTGTGTGCAAAATCCAACAACAACATGATGCTATGAAAGTCAAAAGTGCATAACATAATTAGACATTGAGTCATAAGGGTTTGGAAAAACATAAGGGTGAGTAAATGAAGACAGAAGTTAGATTTTTGGGTGAACTGTTGCTTTAAGTCTTGTTTTCCATGTGAATGAATTAAAGTGCGATACAGACTGTGTCTATTTAAAGAGGAAACATACTGTCTGTGTATAATGTAATAAATTATCTAAAAACACAAGTAAGTGTTCAGGGCTAATTCTCTTGAGATATGCTAAGAGAGTAAGTAGCCAAACAGCCAACTGGTTCACCAGACAGCACACTGCAAACATGCATCTGTAACGAACAGCACACGCGACACTCTACCGTTTCGATAGATCGGAAGAATAGATAAATACCAATGAACGAAAACCTCGGTAGTTTCTTAGTGTTCAGCACTCTCGGCTGTCATTGGCAAATCACGTTGTCCCAACGTTCGTGTTTGTTCCAGGATTCCGCTTTAGTCACAATTCTGCGCCGGCGCACACATATGGCGTCATGGAATCGGTTTATTTAACAATATATTTGACATTAGACAGGACAAATCTTGCGCTTATTTCGAGATTCTCCATTAGCATATAGGTTATTGTTCTTTTATATTTGCGTATTTATAAATGAAAAAAATAAAAAAATCACTAACACAGACAACACATTATAGAAAAACTATTTCCTATTAGTCTAATTATAATAAGGTTATTAAAACTTTATATTCCACATGCAGATATTATATCCACAAACTAAACTTGCTAATGAGACCTAAATTTCACCTCTTGAATTTATTTTAAAACTATTTACAATTTTATTGCATTATATTTTTAGATTTTCTCCAATTTTTTTATTGTTTTATTTACGTTAAAACATTTTATGTATTTAATGGCCAACCAATTTTTAGATAGTATAATTATCAAAATTTGCATACTTTTTTTCTAGTCTTATTTAAAATGAAACTATATGTTTGAATAAGTAGTAAGTTTTTCTTTTCTGTTCTGTAACCTATAAGCCAAATTTTGAAGTGCAATATCTGAAGTGCTGAATATGTAATAAACTGTAACCATTGGAAGCCATTGTCACTTCCCTGTTTGACTCCATTCATACAGCATCACTACCAACAGACAAAACATTCATATTTTTTTCTTTAATTATGCTGCAAACAATAACATCCAGATATATTGTTAACAATTGGCTGTGTGAACAGTGATACCATAAAAAGCAAAGAGTCCCATTCAAGCTGTGAAGTCTGAAACCTCCAATCTATTCTCAAAGTAATAGCTGATGATAGACCTGTGGCTGGAGGATGGACCTACAGACAGGACCTTCACAAGTCTGTCTGTACATGAACCCATCCAGCGTGTGCAGCAGTGGGATTGCTTGGGACCGGTCTCTGGACACATAAAAACAGGACATCATCATTGTCAAACCAAGAAAGAACTTTAAGGTCTTGAGGAAAGCCAATCATAAGGGAGTAGCACTGCTTATGGGGATAATAAACTCTGGACAATGTAAATACATGTTTAATTTACAAATGATGCAATTCAGCAATATTTTTGACCAAAATTATCCACTTTTTTGGTTTAGGTTTACAGCTCCAGTACTTCTGAATCTATTTCTGTGCTGAGTAACACAGTCAAGTGAATGAGGAAGCAATGTCAATCGTCTCCACCAGCATCTAAATCAAGAAACTAAAGGAGGCATCATTGGTGCTTTTCTTGTGATGGGCAATTCTCCCTTGGCTTGCTCAGTCTGCCACAATCCCATAGCGAAATAAAGTCATCTTCCTTCTTACAAGCACACACAGATCGGCCTCTACAACCACGTACTGAGCGGCCCACAGTTAGCATGCCAGCAGACCTATCTGGTAGGGTGTCTAGCTTCATTAACCAATCATGGCGCAACATATTTATGTATATATTTTCAAATATGTCACTTTGACATGGATGGTCAGACATCAAATGCGCCCAATGGTTCCCCACCAGACAGCTCAATCCTCAGTACGGTTACATGCAGAAGTGCTACGTGGACAGGTACAGATCTCAGACTAGTCACTTTTCAGATTTTCAGCAGCAGTAGGTACATCCAGTACACACACAACAGGAAATCGCTTGATAATAGCATGGTTAAGCAGTGAATTCTTTATTATATAATTGCATTGGAATGAAAAGGCTAATTAAAATTATATCCGTTTATGCATTTTGAAGACTTGCATCATGTAAACCTTCAGTCCGATGTGACCAAAGATCTAACAATAGCAGGGATGTGCAATTTAACTGAATTTCTTTTGTCTTTGCACAAAGTCAAAAGGCCTATTTTCTCCTTAAAAGATATGGAATGGTTTACCTCCATGTTTAAGATTTTATCAAATCATTTCCCATTGTGTATTTATTTGTACATTTATTAAGAGATATAGCAGACAATGTGCCACTCGTCACACCAAAGTAATGGCTTGAGCACCTGTGGTTATTTTAGGGATATTCAGCTATGGTCCACAGTTTGAAGATACCTTTACAATTGGAGTCACCATTAAGACTCTCCACAGAGAAAACAGGCAGATCATTAGTTTGTAGCTCCACAACTCATTGGTTTATTATAAGATTGAGCTTCCCACAGTATCGAGTGTAGATTTATTTCATCATAAGCTCATCGTTCCATTTTTTCACCATGGAAATCTTTGCACCCATTCTTTTAGGACAGATTTTTGCACATCCCCCTGATGAGAGGAAACTTTGAGCCCTTGTCATGCTTTGCACCTTAGGTCCAAACTGAGGGTTGCGATTTCTGCATCAAATGTCTTTCGTGAACTCAAATCTCAGTGCAACTGCCATAGGGGCAACAAGATCATTAAACAACAAAGGAAGAATCAGGACATCTTCATCTGAATGGGGCTTTAACAACAAACGCCAAGGGCCAAATCAAGTGCTTCGTAGAGGCAACGGTTATGGTGCTTGCAAGTTTGAAGTGCTCCTGAGTGACAGACTCAACTGACCACTGAGGTCAAAATCTTTACTAAAGCTATCTCTGATTCAGGGCAAAAAAAAAAAAAAAAAAAAAAAACCCGCCCACTATTCAGCATGGCTTTTTGGATGCAGGAGTTTCATATAAATTCACTTCTATAATTAAGCACAATTCTCTCTTACAGTGTAAAGTCATGTCTCTGGGATTGTACTTCTCAGTAGGACGCGTCATGACAAGCGTACAAAGATTTATTCCCAAAGGTTTCCAGACAAAAACACATGAAACATTCTTAGATGCAACCATTAAATGTTATCTAAATCCACAAGAAGAGAATGGTAAGTACACTCCAGAAGTGATGCAACAAAGCTACAGAATAACTTCGATAACAAGCCCCATAGATGATCATTCAACTCTCCACCTCAGCATTATAGGTTCATTCTGTAGCCTTTGCCCCTTGAAAGGTCTCCAAGCTAGGCACAAACAGACTAAGACAGTGGAAGAAAACAAAACAAAACTATAAAAAAAAAAAAATTAAAAAAAAAGATTGACAAAATAAATCAGACACTGTCATTAAATTATCAGTTTAGTGCCCTACATTTAACCCAGTCAGCTTCTGCCTTCGGTAGGTCAGGCTGAGTGAAAGATCAGCCTGTGTTAAACCTATGGTACTTCTAGACAACATTATGTAAATTTACAGTATACAGTTTTGGATTCACCATGCAAGAATACTTTTTTTTTTTTTCATTTAATAGCTCGATCTACATCCAGAATAATTTACATAAAAGGACATGTTATTGAACTGGAGCTTGGTGGGTGATAACCGTGGTGTTCGAGTGCATCCAGAAGAGCAGGAGGAAGCTGAGGGGGAAGTGGAATGGGTCCGGGGGGGTGGAGGGGAGCAGGAGGTGTTGTGAAGGGTCCTGCGGGTACGATCAGCGACACTCCCACACTTTTACTGTTTGATCTACACTCCCGGTGACGACGTATGGAGCTGACTTGTGGAAATCTGCGGAGAGATTAGAGACACTGTACTTTAGGAACACAGACTTGAGTTTAAAAATTATATTAAGATTAGTACTCAACCAATATGTATTTTTTGATGGCCTGTATTGAGGCCCTGTCATTCTTAGCGCTGTCAAAATAAAGGTCCCACTTCCAACACTTGTCGACCAAACAGAAAAACTCATCACTCGACTGACAATGATTTAAAAAATGCCAAATATTGGTTGATATAATGAAGATGTAACATAAATGTAATATTTTTCCTCAAACAGTCCAACATGGCAGCATTAGCTCAGTCAATGGCATGATTTAAGGGTCGGGCTGCCTGATCATTTGACCAATGGAAGAGGAGGGAAATATCTTGTTTGAACATCCTAACTGTACCAGTTCCATTTCGTGATGCTTGTGCCACAAAAATGACACATTTCCACTTTTAAAACATGCATAAAACACTTGAAATAGCAGGATTCACAAGCTCAACCACTGTCGAGAGACCTGAAGCCTCAAACAAACACTCAGTTCTCTACTCACACCAAAACCATTGTTTCAAATCAATAGCCTGGAAGACGAGTGCTGTGTACTGAAGTGCTTTTAAAAGCAAGTTTGAAGCTTCACGGGAGCCTGCAGGGGAGCTGGCTGAATAACATCAAGTATCTCTAGAGAGCTTCAATGCCTTGATCCACTGAAAAGATCTGGACTCAGGCAGTTGAAAGACTGGAGGGTTCAGCGTTTTCTCTGAACATGCTGCCAACGGCTGACAGGACTACCTTTTGTAGAGTAACAAACTCAATCTTAACCTGAGAAATCACTCTGCACTGTACACTTCTAAAAGGCATCTTTACCCTTCCTTGGTCATCAAAACAACTGATATGCATTTCAAACAACATCAGAAACCAGTGAGAGAAGATGAGTTTTTATATGACCGCTTACCCAGAGAGGTAACAAAATGTTCATGGGCACTCAAGGTCTTCATGCAGCGCTTGTTTTTGTAATCCCAGATCCTCAAAGTCTTGTCATCAGCGCAGCTCACGATGAACTTTCCTCCAGGGTGCACAAGAACCCCACGCACCCAGTTATCATGGCCAACCTGAAGACGACACCAAACAAAATGTTTCAGATTTGGACAAAAGCATAAAACTTCTCAAATAGTCTCATTACGCACTTCAGAGAATCACAGCAATTTTACAAGACCGACTCACCAGTGTCATAAGGCACATGCCAGTGCTCACATCCCACATTTTGATAGTCTTGTCTCTGGAACCAGACAACAGGAAAGGACCAGGTTTCCCGCTCTTCTTGGTCTGGAAAAAAAAAAAACAGGAAAAAATATTGAGCATTTGAACCTTCTACATTCTTAGTGTCAGTTTGTTTTATGCTGTTATCTCATTGAAAACATTCATTCTAAAAAAAAAAAAAACTGTTTTTGTGTCAAATATATTACAAAAGCAGCTTCCCAAACACTGATTTATAAGTGTATAGATAAATATTTATGGTTCTTCCTAGAAGGAAAATGCAATAGTGTCTGGGCAAGTCTTTAACCCACAACAAGGTTACGGAAACGGCATTATTAAGACTGATGCACTACAAACAGCAACATTAGAGGTGGCTGAGACTCTAGCAGAGGCGCATATATCAGACATCCAGTCATAACACTTTGAATACCACACCTTAGTACTGAGAGCCAATACACATCTCGTGCAGTCAATGAAAAGGGGGATATAACAAGAGCCGAGGTGTTTGGGGTGATAATGCATTTAGATAGTTCTGCAAAGAATGGATGGTCATTACATTCAAGGCCTTATCTATGATTCTACCTCCATAAAAGGCCAACTCTGCTTGAGGGGGAGTGCGAACAGACACATTAAAAACAAAATTGCTCTTGCCGAGAGGATGGCATGCTCAGACAAGTGTGTTCAGGCACATTTATACCTTTAGACAGAGCTGCTGTAATGACATACAAGGCTTTGTAATTAACATCTGTGACAGTGACTGGTGTCAAGAGATTGTTTTAATTCCACCTGAACAGGTTTGACAAGATCAAAGATGACTGACTAAATATGTTCACTTTTTAACATTGAGGAGAAAGTTTCCTTTACATAACAATAGTAATTACTGTGAGGGTTAAAGGCTGTATTCCACATGCTGTGAGGGCTAATGGTTCATCAGATAAAGATGAAATTGGACACAGTTGATCATAAGACCAGCAATAAAAATCCAAATGGTACGTTCTTCACCTTAGGCTATCAAGTGCTAATACCACCTATGTCATTTCACAGTCTATTTCAAACCATTGTACATGACAAATTTAGATGATCAGTTGAAAATCAAAGGACCCATCAAAATGTGTTTAAAGGGCACAGCAAAGTAGAGACCAATAAAAATCTCAAACGATAATGCATTGATTATTTACACAAACAAAGATCCAATGATTCAAACCTTTTTTTTTTTTTTTTTTAAATGCAAGGTTAAAAGAAGTGGAAAAAATGCCCGGTTGACCTGTAATAGCATCTGAGACCTGGTTTCTTAAAGCCTCTGTGTAGACTTCTTTTAGACATTTTTTTTACCTAGTATTTTACTGTATTCATTTTGTGCATATTACATGTTACTATTACTTATTACCAGTGGTGAACGAATTACACATCACAAATACACAGAGTAAAAGTACAAACCTAAATATGATTTTCATTTACAATAATCAATACTAAAATTCTGCATTAAGGTACAGTTTTGTGGACAAAACAAAAAAAGATCCATTGTCTATTGGCAAGAGTTTTACGGATTCATTGTAAAGAATCGGCTTATTTAGGAATCGTTGTTAAAGCGGTTTCAGATAGCATCAACAATTATTGAACATATTAAATGGCATAATTATTTGCCATTACAAATGCTATTTTCACTCTGTGCTCTCACCTCTGAGCCAGTCGCCTCTAGGATGGTGGGATGGGCACTTTCAGGGGCCCAAGAAATGCACTCCACAACATGCTCATGCTCACGCAGCTCCGCCTTGCATTCTTTTGTGGCCACCACCCAAACGCGCACCGTCTGGTCATTAGAACTACTTGCAATCAGGGTCCCGTCTTGGTTGGGCCGCACCATGCGCACCCACTCTCTGTGGCCGGTGAATGTCTTGACACAGTACCTGTTTAGCAATGCCAACAAACACAGATTTAACCAAATTTATCATCGTCAAGAACATTTCTATTATAAAATATAGTGCTGTCAAACGATTAAAAAAAAAAACAATTTACTAATAAATCACACATTTTTTTCTGAAATTAATCTTGATTAATCCCACCTAACAAGGTTTTTAAATATACTTTTATATTGCAATAATTTCACATTCAATCTTTAAATTAATGTAGAAACAACAAAGACAGTATATATTTAATATTTGTTTAATGGCATCTTTTTTTATGACTGAAGGCGAGTATCACTGATACCAACACTACTGATGTCTCTAGGAAGCAGTTTTTTCCCTAATATTTAACCATTGACTAGCCATTCAACATTACAGTATAATTGAGAGCTATCAATTTTAACATCTATTACACTTTAAAAAATACATTTTAATTTAAGTGAACTTAAAACAATCTTCACATAAACTCTTTATAATAAATATCATGTTTACCTGTGCCCTTCAGCAAGAAGGAAATATACAGAAATTTAATAAGTTATCAAACACTAATTCTAAATTAAATATAGATGAATCCTTAAAGCTACAAAAGTTATTGATTTCCTCTTTTTTTCTTTTATTCTTTGATTAACAGACATCACATCAGCTGGGTTATTAGATTTTTTGTCTGCTGTTACTTTAAGAGCTGCCGCTGCTGAACATGATGTGTTTCTGACCCACTTCAGGTCTTAAAGGGCCTGTTCACACCTGGTCACTTCATGCTTTTTCTCTGATCAAATAGCTATCTGATCGAGAAAAGACCAGGTGTAAATGCTCTCCGAAACGCTTTCGAGACGGGTTTAAATTTGATCGCTCAAACCACTTCAGGAGGTGGTCTGGGACGCATTCCAGACGAAACTGGACAAGTGTAAATGCATCGGGTTGATGAAACCACATATGTAAATTTTACTCCTCCCAAAATGTTAAAATAATAAATGTGTGAGAGCGTGTTATATGCTATATGACATGTTATAGTCAGATATGACAGCGCTAATACAATACGCATTCGCCACAGAGGAGTAGCCGAGTATCTCTCTTTAGCAAGATGACGTTGCAGATGCACAACACACGATCATCTTCATTAAAAGTAGGCATGTAGACTCTCTCTCTATGACATTGCATGCTCATAGTTTCTTTTGCGCTTTAATATGAAGTGATACAGGCAACAGCGCGCCGCAGCCGCATTTGTGCGTGCAACTGAAGAGCACATGCTATGAGCAAAGTATAACGCCTGACAGGACAGGAAAATGAGTTTTTACTGGCATATGGCCTGATAACATTTCATCTCTGTTCTACTGAAGCTCCCTCATCACCTGTGCCGTTTCTGCACTTGTTTGTCAAGAAAAAGAGACAGAAGCAGCAGTTGTGAGTGGGGTGGCCAACCCTAGCTCCACCCCTGTGTTATCTGCGTTAAATATTTTTAACGTGTTAAACTTTTAAAAATTTATGCAAATGCCCTATTTGATTACAACATGAAAAATGCTGGAGAGCAGAATTTCACTTTGTTACTTGTTCAACATTTACACAGGTGCTTTTCAGCTGAAGAAACTCAACAATACAGTAACTGTATTGTTGGACAGTTTTGTTGTAGCAAGCTATGGTTAGGGGTACATTAAGATCACCAACCTTTGTTTTGGCAGCCCAGGACTTTATCCAATAAGAACATTTTAAGCAATTTCAAATTAAAAGGATGAAACCTGCATACAGCATTTGCTAAATGACTTACCCAGTGGCCACCTCCCACATTTTAATGGTTTTATCCCTTGAGGCAGAAACTATGTGATCTCCATTGGGCATAATAGCTACAGATGAAACATTATGGTCATGCCCTGAAAAAAAATAAAGAAAAGAATTAAGTATAAAATATTCCAGATTGTCCTGAAACTGTCATCCAAAGAACCACCAACAATGTCTGAGATGGATACACTGAATTCACTTTGGGATTCAGCACATAATATACACATTTCTACCATACAAATCAAACCGTCATGCACATTAGGATCTGACAATGAGTGGTTAAGCTTTAAAACATATTGAACAATTTAATGGAGAATAAGAAGCTGCTAATTTGCCTTGGGCTGCTTTGTTCTCACAGTGTGCGAAAGAGATGAGCTAATTACACAGAACGCCATTTTTAAGCTCCTGAATAGATGATGAAACTAAGTAGCCTAGAAAAAGCAGTCTTAAATATGGGGGGAGAACCACAAAATGTTATCTCGTCTCAAAGAGGATAATTAAACTGCTGTCCAAATCTCCTAATCTTCCGCTAAAGCAGGCGACCCACGAAGCGAGACGGGGAGAGAGAGAGAGAGAGAGAGAGAGAGAGAGAGAGAGCGAGAGAGAGAGAGAGAGAGAGTGTGAGAGAGTGAGCTCGAGCAGAAGG